GTGGAGCCTGAACTCTGGGCCTGGGCGCTGTCCCTCAGCTCTTCAGCTCAAGGCTAGTTCTCTACCACTTGAGCCACAGCTCCACTTCTGGCTTTTTTGTTTTTGCTTATGTGGTGCTGAGGAATCGAACCCAGGGCCTCGAGCATGCAAGGCAAGCGCTCTACCACTGAGCCACCTTCCCAGCCCTCTTGTCTAGTTCTTTATAAAACATAAATTCTTAAAAGCGATAGCCATCTTGCAATACTATAAAACACTGGCTTATTCCTCCTACATTTTGGAGGCTTGTTACCCACCTTCCTCTGTCTCTCACCCTCACAACCTTTTCCAACCTCCACTAACTAGTACTCTTGCATCTACCTTTATGAGATCAACTCATTTAACCTCCACAGATCACTGAAAATGTTCATTGCCTGTCTGTGCCTGGCTTATTTCACTTAATATAATTTTCTTTGATCTAGGGTTTGAGGGACAGGAATGGACCAAGATAAGACCACCAGAGACCTACTTCCTTCCCTTAAGCCCTATCTCCCTAAATTTCCACCACTTCCCAAAATAGTGCTACCAGCTGGAAAACAAGTATTCACTTCAGAAGCCAATGGGTGAAAGTTCTTATTCGCACTATAACAACTCCTTACATACCACAAATACTTTGTCACTTTGGGGATTTATTTTCAACATACAGATAGAAATAGGGGGTAGGGAGCATAAACATTTAGGGGAAACCATAATAGGTATTTTCTATACAGTTATAGCAAACACTGAATCAATGAAAACAAACACATGGCTTCTAGGGAAGATATAAGGCTAGTTTCCTGCAAGTCCTGCAATTCATCAATTGATTAATACATAACTTTATCTTATTTGTGTTTCTATTTACAGAGGCCTCACTTTAATATAGATTTTTTTAATTGTAAAAATACTGTACAGAGGGGTTACAATTACATGGGCAAGATAATAAGTACATTTCTTATCAAGCATTGTAGCCTCCTCCTTTGTTTCCCTTTCCCATCCCATCCTCCCCCTAATATAGATTGTTGACTCATTAACATTGAACTTCTAGCCAGCCAGCAGTGCTTTAACTTGTGTGAAGGAAGTTTACATATCCCAAGGCACGTCCTATCCTTCTCATGCTTAGGAAACACCAGACAACATTTCAGCATCACTTTTGAGGCCACTTTAAACAGCATCACCAACAGAAATGCAGATCTGTGGCATCAAAGAGACCACAGCAAGGATATTTGTTTATAGTGTGAACCAACAAGGCAGAGCATAGTCTTCATCCTCGCATTTGAAAGTGTGCATTAAGTGAATACAGATTTTAATTACAGGTCCACAAATAATTACAGAAGTCTGAGTGTTGATTTGGCGATTACAAGTAAATTTTAGTAAGTAAGCAAAGTTTCAGGAATAGACTGTTAGTAATCAGAATCTGCTGTACTTTGGTTCTTTGGAGTTTTCTGTTGTTGGAGTTTTTTTCCTTTGTTTTTGTCTCTGTAGAAAAGCCCTCCATAGGCAGGCACTAACCTGTGTGTGGAGTGAGTCCTTTGTTTTGCAAGTTCAGATTTCCCCCATCAGACTCAGTAGTACCTCTCTTGTGTTGAATTTGGAGCCTCGTCTAGTGGCTGTTGTAAAGACTGGCTTCCTAAATTAAATCAGGTCTGATCGACCCGCACTAAAGAACTGAAATGATACTTTCTATTATCCACATCACCAACTGCTTCACAGCTCAGCTTTGGCTATGGCTATCTAATCTCTAGAATATTCTCCAAGTAGCTGCATGCTTATTTGCCCTCAGTTACTTAAGGTCTCTATCCAAATCTCCTCTTAAGAGAGATTACTGTATAAATGATCACTTCTCCCTTCTATTCCTCTTGCCTTACTTTGCTTTTCCCATCACTGATCACTTCATATTTCCCTCTTAGAATATAAGTCTTTGGGAGTGGGGATTTTGTTACACCCATGGCTATGTCCCCACCACTGAGGCAGAAGGCAGACTCTGACCAAGATGCCTGACTATTGACTAAAGAAGCTGTCACTTTAAATTGTGATTCCCAGAAGATGAACAGAGGACAAGCATGACTTCTCAGAAGAGCTTTCAGCAGCTGACAATGGAGAAGGAGCAGGCCCTGGCTGACCTGAACTCTGTGGAAAGGTCCCTTTCTGATCTCTTCAGAAGATACGAGAACCTGAAAGGTGTGCTGGAAGGCTTCAAGAAGGTAGGATGTTCTTTTCCACCTGTCTATTGGCCAGTGCTGTGGTTTCTTGGTAATGGGTCAGCATGTATGTCAAGGACTGGTAGCCTTCCACAGGAAGCTCAGTGCATGTTGGCCTTAAATTTTCTAATTACAGTAAAACTCCACTTTTTTTTTCTTTCTCTCTCGCTGATGTCTGGCTGATAGGTTGGAATGTCTTTCTCATTCTACTGGGTAAAGCCAGTGATCCCCACACATAACCAGAGTATGTACAGTGAACAAAAACTGGAGTCCTCAGATTTTAGGATCCTAGACATGTTCTTTTTCATCATTCATCCTTCCAATATTAGAAAAAGTGGAAGGGATTATACTTAGATTTGAAAAAAATGTTGCATATTAGAGAAGAAATTCAGTAATCATTTAGTTGCATGTTTTTGATGACAATTTACAAGCAGTGAAAAAAAAATTTTTTTCTGATGACAGCTATTGTTCCCAGGGCCTTACACACACAGTAGACAGGCATTTTACCTCTCAGCACAGGCTTTACAATTCTTTATTTTCATATTAAAGTAAAACCTCTGTGTAACTACTTAAAGACAACTAAAAAAATGTTAAAGAACAGCTCATACTTATAACAGCACTCATGACATTGAGGCTGGGGAATCGAAGACAGCTGGGGCTACTTAGTAAGATTCCATCTTAGAAAACCAAAAATATGGGGCTGGGAAGGTGGCTCAGTGGTAGAATGCTTGCCTTGCATGCATGAGGCCCTGGGTTCAATTCCACAGCACCACATAAGCAGAAAAACCTGGAAGTGGCGCTGTGGGCTCAAGTGGTAGAGTGCTGGCTTTGAGCTGAAGAGTTCAGGGAAAGCATTCAGGCCCAGAGTTCAGGCCCCATGACCGACAAAAAAAAAAAAACCAAAAATATTTTTTGAATAAAAATGAGACTAGCCACATTATATAATATGGGGATCAAGCTACTGTTCAATATTAGTAAATGAACTATATTGAAAATTCAGACATTAGGAAAGTAAATTAGTGATGTTTTACCATTGAAAAAACAGATACATGGTACATTGGTTGTATAAGAAAAAGATATGTTTGTTTTAATTTTTACCTTGAAACAGAATGAAGAAGCCTTGAAAAAATGTGCTCAGGATTACTTAGCCAGAGTAAAACAAGAGGAGCAGCGGTACCAGGCCCTGAAAATCCATGCAGAAGAAAAACTAGACAAGTAAGCATGTGTGAATTTGAGTTTCGCTCTTCATAATATTGTGGAAAAACGTAGAGGCAGAAACTTTATTTTTTTTTACCTGAAAAATAATATATACTTGTACATTTTACTATTTGGATTACTATTTGTAAAATTATAATTCAAAACACTAAAATTGTTTTACATCTTTAGGTTTGTGTGTATGTGTGTGTAATGTTTCATTTGAACATTACAAAGTGTAAAAAGGCATACAACTCAGCTTTTTATCCTGATTGGCTTCTACTAGAGTGTCATAGCTTTTGCTCCTTAGAGATGGGAACATCTGGTCAGAGGGCTGTGTAGGCCTAAGAAATTATTTGGTACATAATAGGACAGACAAGTATGCTCTTGCATCTACCTGTATTGATAATTCAGTATGCCCTGTGAATGTTACAAATATCCAAATGGCCATTGGCAGAAAGAGGTTCCCTACTTCTGCTGATTGCTGATACCCCTTGGTAATCGGTGTTAATTTCTGTTTTTCCTTCTAAATACACATTTCTTCCTCTTTGTGTGTGTATGTGCAGGTGTGTGTGTGTGTGGTGGTAAGGATTGAATACAGGATTTTGTACATACTAGACAAGTGCTCTATCACTGAACTATTCTAGCCCTTCTCTTCCAAGGGATAATGGCATCCCTTGCTTTTTCTTTGCATAGTAATATAATTTTGAAAATATTGTAGTATCAATCCATGAGGAACTTCCATATGACATTCTGTTACTGAAATGTATCATTTATTTAACAAATCCCTCTTGATGAACATTAAAAATTTGTCTACTACAATGATGCAGGAAAATGCTGTAGATTACTCTTTTGCATGCAAAAGTTCCTTATGGATTGGTACAGAAATAGTAACATTGTTAACTTGAGCCACATGTCCTTTTTGTAAGTAGCAAATGATCAGTCTTTTCTTTTGTCAGTTTCTGAATTCCATGTCATAGTAACAAAGAGCTTCCCTGTGCTGGGTAGACAGTACTCTATCAGTTCTTTAAAATGCTTTTTTTTTTTTTGATGTTCAATCTTCAAACGATTGAGTATTCTATTTGTCTTCCATTCATTTTCTATTCATCTACCCCTCTTTACCCCACCCTCCAAGGTATACTTTAGCTTCATGATTAATTTTTTTTTAATTTTTTATGCAAGTCCTGGGGCTTGAACTCAAGACCTAGCCACTCTTGCTGAGCTTTTGTGCTCAAGACTAGCACTATACCACTTGAGCCTCCACTCTACTTATGGCTTTTTTGGTGCTTAATTGGAGATAAGAGTGCCATAGACTTTCCTGACCAGGTAGGCTTGGAATCTTGATCCTCAGATCTCAGCTTCCTGAATAGCTAGGATCACAGGTGTGAGCCACTAGCACCTGGCCTGGCTCAATTTTTTTATTCCTTAAGTTCAATAAATTTAAAAAAGTTTATCCCAGGAAGTAAGATCTTTATTTTTTTCTAAAAAGGAACACGTATTTGTTCATTTTTCTATAAATAGTCCTTTTATAAAAAACTTTTTTCTACTTCTATAGGTTCCATCATTGTATATGTTTATTGTATTTATTGTGCATTCTGTTCTTTTATGTCTTTACAAATAGTACTCAAAATGATTTAGAATCCTTTGTCTACTTGTACTTAATATATATATGTATATATATATATGTAAAATACTGGAGTTACTATACAGATTTTTTTTATTTATCATAAGTCAAAGCCATTTTTCCATTTTACTTAACCAAGTGCAAGAGTTTCATGGCTGTAATCCTAGCTACTCAGGAGGCTGAGGTCTGAGGATCACAGTTCGATGTTAGCCCAGACAGAAAGGTCTGTGAGACTGTTACTTTCAATAAACACCAAAAAGTTAGAAGTTAAGCTGTGGCTCAGGCAGTAGAGTGCCAGTCTTCAACAACAAAGCTAAGGGAGAATGTACTGGCCCTGAGTTAAGCTTCAGTACCAGCACATGCGTGCGCATGCACGCGTGCGCACGGACACACACACACACACACACACACACACACACACACACACGAACATTTAGTTTAATTCTTTTTATTACATGGTAATTATTGGTGGGCATGTAGATAGTTTCACTTTTTTTTTTTTTGCCAGTCCTGGGCTTGAACTCTGGGCCTGGGCACTGCCCCTGAGCTCTTCAGCTCAAGGCGAGCACTCTGCCACTTGAGCCACAGTGCCACTTCTGGCTTTTTCTGCTTATGTGGTGCTGAGGAATTGAACCCAGGGCCTCATGCATGCAAGGCAAGCGCTCTATCACTGAGCCACCTTCCCAGCCCAGTTTCACATTATTGTTATAAACAGTGGTACAGTAAGTAAGCCAAGAGTATTTCTGTGAATAAATAGCTGAAAGTGTAGAATTTGCTGGGACAGAAGGTGTGTACTTTATACTAAGGGCCTCAAATTTAGCAGGCAAGTACTCTACCACTAGAGCCACTTTCCTGGGTCTAAATGTTTTAAGTTGTCTTGGTTCTCACCTTTCAGCCCCCCCACAAAAGACAGTTTTTATCCTTCTCATGAGCACATGACTCTGTTTCTTTGTATCTCCATCAATACAGGGCAAGATCATTCTTGTTCATTTTTACTAGTCCAATGAACTTTTCAAATTCATCATCTGGAAACAGTGTGTAGTTCAGTGGTAGAGTTAGAGCATTTGGGAGACCCAAGATTCAACCCCTAATACCAAAAATGTAAGAGAGAGATTTTTGTCTTTAATTTGAATGTCTCTGATTACTAGCAACGTTTTTGCCATCCTTTAATCGGTTAACAGGCTGTTTTATGATAATTTTCAAAATGATTTAACCTACTATTGTACTAGATTAAAAAAATTTAAAGTTGCTATGAGACATATATTGCATTTCTTATAAAATACAAATTTTGAAGAACATTGGTCATTGAGATTGGTCCTGCCAGAAGTATGTGCCATGGAAATTTTCTAATGAGTTGTAAAGAAACTGAACTATTCCCTGATCTTGCAGTCAATTCTTTTGAGTATATGTTTTTAGGAAGTCAGTTCAATATCCTGAACCTAGCTGTGTCAATGGCTAACCATGTGTTTTTTATCTCTCTTATTCTAAACAACAACAAAACCCACCATAAACAGAGCCAATGAAGAAATTGCTCAGGTTCGCACCAAGGCAAAGGCTGAGAGTGCAGCTCTCCACGCTGGACTCCGGAAGGAGCAAATGAAGGTGGAGTCCCTGGAGAGGGCTCTTCAACAGAAGGTATAGCAGAGATTTGGTGTAGACAATATCTGAAATGCTCGCGTGTTCTCCACAGAGGCTTGGATGAGACCTGGGTGTTTAGCTCACCATGGACTTGGATGAATGTGGCCTTGCCATTCTCAGACTCTCCCACTGATTCAGGATAGACTTATGATATTCTCAATCTTTCTTTCTTTTTTTTGGGGGGGGGGGCTCCGGATGTGGGGCCTGAACTCTGGGCCTGGGCGCTGTCCCTCAGCTCTTCAGCTCAAGGCTAGCGCTCTACCACTTGAGCCACAGTGCCACTCTGGCTTTTTTCTTTTTGCTTATGTGGTGCTGAAGAATCAAACCCAGAGCCTCATGCATGCAATGCAAGGCTCTACCACTGCGCCACCTTCCCAGCCCCTATTCTTAATCTTTCATGCATGTCTTATAGAAGTCTTTTGCTGTAGGTATAGACAGGAAGTTGGGTTTTAACTGACATGCAGAGGACCAAACACTTCTTAGTAGGGCCACAAGACTTCATTCCTTCTGATTTGTTTTTTTTTATACAATACATGGAGACATCTTCCCCTTTCATTGCTTGAGATTATTGGCTCTCAATTAGGGGCAGTTTTCCCCTCTAGGAGACATTAGGTAATGTCTGGAGATTAATTGGTTGTCATGACAGGGAAAAGCTCCTGGTGTCTAGCATCTTATGATGCACAGAGTAGCCCCACATTAACTACATACCTAGCTGTAGACAAATTAAAGTCAGTGTCAGTGTTGGGAAACCAAAATCTGACGGCTCACTGCCTGACAGGCCAATTTACAAGTGTGGAGGCAAGGAAAATGACTTTATTCAAAGGCTAGCAATGAGAAGACCCTTATTCAAGGTCCACTGTCAAATGGTTTAGATAGGTAAGTAATAGGTATTCCCAAAATGATAGGCACCTTCTCATAGTAGGTAGGCCAGGCTGTGTATCAAATTGTAGTCACAGGATGCAGTTCCTTTCTGTACATCTCAAGAACAGATAATTTCCTCAGGCTTTTCTTGCCACTGATTAGTTTTTTTTCCCGTGTAGTTCCTTGTTACAAGTATGCCAGCTGGAGAGGGTAACTGCCTCAAAGCCAAATGGAATGGAAGAAACCTTCCTTAATACTGGGTTCTGGTAGCAGTGTCCTATTTCCCACTAATAAGCAGTTTTTAGCTCATTGTTTTTATGTCTCCCATGTTTTTCTTACTCTGTCTCCCAAGAAGCATGTAAGCTGGTGACAGCCACTGAGCTAGAGCATGGTAGACAGTAGCCCCTCCGTGTCCTTGAGACTTGCAGACTCCAGAATCCCTTGGCTACTGATGGCTGAGTAAGACCCTGATACTTGTGTTTTTAGCAAGTGCTCTGCATAGTTTCTGTGATAAGAAGAAAAGAAGGAATGGAAAGGTACATGGACAGGCTTCAGGGGGCCATGGCTACTCTCACCCTTGACTCAAGTTAGGCACAATACCATGAGTACCTGCACATTTCCTGGGCTGAAAGTACATGGTCTTCCTTTCCTTAGAGATGCAGAAAGTAAAGTTTCACTAAGTTAAGATGTCTAGGTAGGTCTGTCCAGCTGTGATTGCCTTTGTTTCAGAACACAAAGGGGCCTGTGTAATTGTATTATCTATCTTTCAGAACCAAGAAATTGAAGAACTGACAAAAATTTGTGATGAGCTGATCGCAAAACTGGGGAAGACTGACTGAAATTCCTCCCATTTGCTCAGCAGATCTGCCATGATTACCTTGCCTTACCCAGGAAGAATTTGTCCCTTTTCAGAGAGAAAAAAAAAAAAGCACATCCTCCTGCTGCCTGTCCTGCTTTGCTGCTGCCAGTGCAACAGCCCTGGAAGACCCTGGAGGCCAGCCCTTCAGGAAGGAGCTTCACCTGCTGTGCCAGGCTCCAGGCTCCCAGGTGTGGGTTCCATCACACAGGCCGCTGAGTCTGTTTGTGATTTCTCTATCTTTAGTTCATCTTCACACCATTTTCTTTTCCCATGCTTAATTTCTGATTTTGTGGCTATTGTTTGGGCTCCTATCCTCCACTGTTCAACATTTTCACGACCTACTTAATCTTTTGATTTTTAGGATCAGTGGATTTATTGCAGGGGATAATTTCACCTCTTGTTACTTCTAGTTATAAATAAGGAGCTCTGAGTACTTTTATGTACATACTCCTATCTGTACATGTGTATCTATATATGCTGCTACTTTTCCTGAAAGCATAATTAAATGAGAACTTTTCTATAGAAGAACATACTTCCATATTTAAAACCCTACTTTAAAACAGAGCCCTGACTCCAAATGCCAACTTAGCAATTTTAGGGTCTGAACACAGTGTTATGTGTCTAGTCCCAGCTACTCAGGAGGCTGAGGCAGGCAGATTGTTTGAACCCAGGAGGCAAAAGCCAGCCTGGGCAACATAGCGAGATCCTGTCTCATAAATAAATAAATGTGTGTATGTGTGTATGTATGGTTAGTTATGGTAACACATACAAGAAGTTCCAAGCCAGCCCAGTCAAAACAAGCAAGGACTACATAAAAACTACAATACAAAAATGCCGCGAGTGTGAATCAGGTGTTAGAGCACTTGCCTATGCCCAGTCCTGGGTTTAGTCCCCAATACCCCTTTATTCCCCAAATGAGGCTGAAGACTTGGGTTTCAAGCTTGGAGTACTATTTTGTTACTGTGGTATTTGGGCAGCCCTCTGCTTTAATGGGCGTAGTTCATAGTCCTCAGACTCAGTAAATGTCTGCTTTCTTCATAAATAGCAGTGTGTGCCTCACTCAGAGCTGGGCTTTGATGAATCCACCCTGGAATCACTCTTTCTGCTTTAGTTTTTTGATACAAAATCGACATCCCACTTTTGTTACCTATTTGAAATATGCAAAAAAAAGTCAACCCATGAAGTGATTTAGATGATCTCACTTAAAGGTAACTCTGGTCCCATCACTAATTACTAGGTTGAAGGAACCAGTGGTTGGTTGTCTTTATTACATGGTACATCGTTCTTTCAATATTTTTTAAAAAGACAACAAATGATTTCATACTTAAACGATAGAATTTTTAGCAAAACAGGCAGAAAAATAAATCATGTGTGCCACTCTGAAAATCAGCTTACTGGGAAACATTACAAAAGATAGTTTGAATACTGAGGAGGGAATCAGGAAGGATGTCCACACAGACAAAACCAGACTCCTCAGACTCATACTGAATCCATTCAGAGTGATAGAATGTTAACCCCAGGATGGAACCTTGTCACATTATGCTAGTAAGTTATTGGACAGGCAAAATGAAATGTATTCAAGTGCTAAAGCACTCTTTTGTCTTAATGTACACCTCCAAATCTTAATAGTGATGTACACTATATTCAGTACCTGTTTTCCTACTTCTCCTGTAAAACTGTTGCATGAGCCAACTTCAGCAATGAATTGTGCCTCCCAGAGAATCTCTAGATCTTGCAAATAAGTATTTCTTTTGCAGTATATTATTCATGTGGGTGTAATCATTAGCCCCAGGGAGGTTAGTAATATTTTTTCAAGGCAGAATCTATGTTTTACCAATATGCATTTATCACAGTTGGTGCTTAGGCTGTATTTTAAAGCCTATTGTCTTAACATTCTGTACAAAAAAAAAAAAACAGCAATTTTTTTGTGGTTAGAGAACTGGCTTGACAATCATTTGGGCTTTGAAAGTAGTCACTGTGGCTTAATGTAAATGCTGTGCCAGCATCCTAGTGTCCAGTGTGTATTCTGGTAGTATAACCAGTTTCTTCTTAATCCTCTGCTACAAGGGAAATGAGCTTTGCAGTTTGCAGAAATAGTACAGAATTATTTGCTGCTGCGTTTTGGTGACTTATCTATGTTTACTTGCTTAAATATTGACTTATTTTAATACAAAATGTCTATAGTGGTCTCCAGTATACATCCATAATCATCTTTTTTTTCTTGTAATGCCAGGCAAGTGTTGTGTCGCTGACCTATATTCCCAGCCTTATAGTCATCTCTTTGAGCTTATTGTGTATTTTGATATATGTCATGTGAGAAAATGGGCAACAACAGTTTTTCCCTAGCACATTGGTGGAAGAAACTTAAAAACTTGACCCCAGTGAATGAAGTTGCTGCTCAAGGGAGCTAGCAAGGGCGCTTGGTAAGTAGGATTTGCTACCAGCCTCTCAATTGTTAACTATTATGAGGAAATGTTTACCATTTTGGTTTGACAGATGGCTCCTCTCCAACAAGAATAAAAATGTAGCTTTTACAACTGGCAAATCAAAAGAATATACTAAGAATGAAATATATTTATTTTTCTTTAAAAAATAAGCCTCCTCCCATCAAAAAAAAAAAAAAGCTTTTAGAACTCTGGAGAGAGTAAGAATATAGTCAGGTTTACTTCATCACATGTGGAAGCCAAGTTACTTATTTGTTAGGCAATAAAAAAGAAAAAAAACAAGCTCAGGGTGTGGTGGTCCATGCCTGTAATCCCAGCACTCCAAAATTGGAGGCAAGATGATTGAGAATTTGTGGTTAGCCTGGGCTGCAAAAAGATTTTGTGTCTCACAAAACCAAGCGCTGCAAGGGCTAGGAATATACTCAGTGGTAGAGCAACTGCCTACCATGTACAAGGCCCCCAGGGTTCCTGAGTTTTATCCTCAGTACCTGCATGCACGCACGCACACATACACATTCTCTCTCTCTCTCCTCTCTCCTCTCTCTCTCAGAAAAAGGAAGGAAAATAGAATAGAAAGAAGCTACTAGCTTAGACAGTGGTTCAGGAATTTTAGGTGATCTTGCCAATCATCTAAATCCATAGCTACTTCTTCAGTATTTGGCTTTGCCAAAGTATAACTAGCTTTTACCCACCAGTATTTTGATAGAAGTCAGTTTACCATGTTCCGGTCAGACTTCTTTATTTACTTTATTTGGGGAAGCTCCTTGAAGCCCACATTTACCCAAAGCTTTTGCTCTGTTAATTGGCTCTGGAAATGCTGAGAAGCCCAGTGTTCTCCCGTGGTTTCTCTCTTCTTCAAACCCAGGCCAAATTAGGAAGTGCAGAAGCCCTGGTGGTGAAAAGCTCTAAGGCACTGACTGCCGTCCAAACGGTATGGAATCTATGCTCTCCTGTCATTTGGGCGCATAACTCAAACTGAGTTTTCTTTGTAGCCAGTGTTCCTTTCTCCTTGTTCACACACGGCACCACCACCACCAGAGTGGCTTATTTATTAGACAGCCTGAGTGAGTTCTGTCTAATACGAAGAGCATAAACTGCTCCAAGCATTCTGGACTAAGCCTCCAGTTTAAGCACTCATTTGCAGAGAAGATAACAAAGGGCTAGGAGCGGGTATGGTCACCATGGTCCTGGGAAGTCTATGTGCTCATGCTGGGAATAACTGCCCTTTCACAGTGGAGAAAACATTCTGAAATCCCTTTCTTTTCCCGTGCTTTCTGTTCCAGTCATCTGCCATCTCATTGTTCTTGGCCATTGTACCTTGTGTGAGTGACTGTGAATGTGCTCTCAGAGAAGTTATTACTTCATCTTTTAGGCAAGAGAGACAAGTGGTGAAAAAATAAATGAAAGATATATATATATATGAATTTTAAGAAGGGAAATTAATATTTGCTTAATAAGAAACAAATATAGGTTGGGAATCCCAGAATGCCAAGCCAAAGGTCTAAGAAGTCACCTCTTTTCAAAGATTTTAATAAGTTATTTTGAGGAGCCTTTTGTCCAGAAAGGTTTGACTGGCCTTGATTCCAGTTAGTTTTCAAAAGCATTTACTGGGGCTGAGGATATAGCTCAGTAGTAGCACATTTTCCCAGCATGCACCAAGCTCTGTTTGATTCCCAGAACTGCAAAAAGGAAACAAAACAGCGGCAATTTACTACTCAGTCTTTGAGTCTCTCATACAGTAAAGGTGAAGGAAGTAAAAGAACCCACCTGGGTCTCCTCTGGAGAACACACACACAGCACTGTCCAGTGAAGACCCTCCCTAGTGCCAGAGCTTACTTTCTGGAAACTAAAGGTTGCACTTTTCGTAGTTTTTTGGTCCAAATGCAATCCCATTCCTGTGCCTCTTAGCATGCCATTAGATTTGGACAAACAAGATTCCTAAGGAATGACTTTATTAACTGTAATATGGTTACAGCTATTATATAATGATATAGACTCTGGTTATAGTTCTAATGTGGAGATGTTGTGTGCAATGCTGGCCTGTGACGGTCTGTATAATGCTTTTAAGTTTTCAGAGGAGGCCAAACTGGGAACTGCGGTGTGGCCTAGACCTTCTCTGTGTAGGCTTCCCACTTGCTGTCAGGACGCCACTCTCTCCCCCTCTGCCTTTAGGGGCCTCTGGGATAGACATCACACTATTAACCAGTATCCTATATGTATGAGTAATTTTCAAATGCACATGATACAAATCTGAACTCTGAAACCACGTCCAGTCCAGACACAGGGCAGCGTGTAGGTCACACCACAGCCTTGGCCTCCCTCTCAGCCTCGGTCCTTCCCTGCTTTGGGAATAGGATCCAGGCAGTTTTTGAACTCTCAGAGATAGCAGTAAACTTTTCAGTATTGCTGTTAGCAAGTGTGTGTTTGCCAATAGATTCCCATTGTACACCGTGCCAACAAGTAAATGCCTATTGCACACCGGCTCCCACCCACTGCCCCCACCTGGCACGCGATGCGCATCCCTGCTGGGCGGGCGCAAGTGGACTCCTCATCTGCATAGATTTTATATTCATAGTATTTTCCCTTTTTATATGTCAAGTAAATATTTGTAAAAGTTATACTCACACAAATGAAATTATTATAATGATTAATATATTTTTTCCATGTTTCATTGCCTGAATAAAAACTGTTTACCACTGTTAGGTCTGGGTGTGTGTGGTGGTGTTTTTCCTGGTTGTAAATCATTTTCCTCTGTGAGTGAAAATTTATGGCAACCTCACTTTTATGAGTTCCATATTTCAGTATAAAAATAGAAAAGCTGACATTTTCTCCACACTCATTTTGTGGTTTTATGCGTTTGGTTGGTTGTGTAATTAAAAACAAAACTTGAGAACTCAGACCTTGCTTTATAATTGACCATTACTTTACATCTGTGCAAACAGTCGCTAGCTGGATGCTTAGTTTTGCCTACAGGCTGGTTGTTCGCTCATCTGAGAAGCCAAGTTTCCCCATGCTTTCTGACTTGGTGAAGGACACAGGATAAGCCAGGGCTGGGTGAACATCACAGGCTTCAAAAAATAGTTGACATTCTATGTTTCTTCTCCATTACTATTAGGAAAAAATTTTTCCTCTTAAAGGGGTAGCAGGAAATTTTGTGAATTATGTTCCTGGAAAAGGTAAGCAAGAGGATTCCAAGGCTACATTTTTCAGCTTAGGTGAGGATCCCCTGAGGAAACCACAGTTTGCCTGCACGAAGACACTGCAGCCTATAAAATTCCTAAAAGAAAAATGTCTCACCCAGGTGTTCCTGAACTGCAAAGAGAATCCAGAAAACTCACTGAAGGGGAGGGGTCATGAGAATTACTGGGGGAAATACGATGGAAGTTTGCTCTCTACTGTCTTAGTTTTATTACGTTTGTTTTCTCTTAAGTTTTATTCTTTTATAATTTAAGACCACCAATGTTTGCCTCTTCCAGTTCTAAAAATAGGAGATCATGGCCAATCACTCATGGCTCATGCTTATAATCCCAGCTACTCAGGAGGCTGAGACCTGGAGAATCTCAATTCAGCACCAACCAAGGCAAAAAAAGGTCTGCAAGATTCCCATCTCCAGTTAACAGCAAAAAAGCAGGCTGGAAGCTTGACCCAAGACTGGAGCACCAACTTTGAGCATGCAAATTGAGTGAATACAAGGCCTTGATTTTAAGCCCCAGTAGAAGACCATGAAATCAGTGAGAGGTAGTCAGTGTTTAAAAATTTTAGATGGATTCTGTGAATAAATGGACATTAAATTGAAACTTCACTGTACAACTACTTGAAGATAATAATTTAAAAAAAGAGGTAAAGAAAAAATTTTTACAGCAGGGGATCTAATCGAGAGCTTTACAAACACTAGATCAGTGCTCTTCTACTGAGTTCTACCCCACTTCCAGGGAACAATAGTAGTTTAAGGAAAGAAAGAAATTACGGCAACTATCAGAAGCAGTTACAGATAGGTACTGGTTCATGAAATTTGTTTCAGATACAAATTCATGTGCACTGGATCATGACAAAAAGTTTTTTGCCATGGTTAGAAGAAAGTATGGGAAAAACTATATAGGCAACTTACATCATTTTCCCATTGGAATGAAGAGGAAGGTTGTCTGTTAGAAGATGCTATTGTTAGTCAAATAGGTAAAATTAAATAGCCACCTAATTTATAAGCCAGTTACTAAGTTTAACTTAAAATCAGAGTCCTCCCAGTTTTGGTTACTATTTGTATCACTTCGTAAGTAGGCATTTAGATAGTAGACCGAAGTACCTTTTTGCTATATTGATTTACTTACTCAAGATAGGTACCTTCACAGTTTAAGACATGAAAGATTTGGAGAGGTGAGTTGGTCAGAAAAAGTTCCACTTTTCTTGGGAAGTAGCATAGTAATTGGGACCACCATAAATTTGCTAACTGCTGGCATTCTACCACTTGAACCACGAACCACAATGCCAGCCTGGCTTTTTTGCTGATTACATTGAGGCAGATTCTCCAGGTCTCAGCTTCCTGAGTAAGTAGGGTTACAGTCTTTGACTAAAGATGAAACTGTAAATGTAAATGATAGGCTAGGTAAAACTTCTTGCTGGGCACTGGTGGTTGAAGCCTGTACTACTCAGGAGGCTGAGATCAAAGGATTGAGGTTCAGAGCCAGCTCAGACATGAAAGTCCATGAGATTTTTTTATCTTGAACTTACCACCAAAAAGTCAGAAGTGGAACTATGGCTCAAGTGATCAGAGTACTAGCCATTAGTGAAAAAGCTCAGGGATACCACCCAGGCTCTGAGTTCAAACCTGGGAATCATAAAACAACAAAAACCCTGTATTCTTTCCCAGAAGAATACCATTGTCTACAATTCTAAGCGTTGTGGTAAAATGCAGTTTATTTTTATATCAGTAAGCTTTATTTACTTAGATATGGGGGTAGAGTAGTCTGTGAGATAAGTCTTAAACCCTAAAGCAGGACATGATGGCTTAATTAGGTTGTATGTTTAGACTGACGAACAATCCAGGAAAAAGGTAAACTGAACAGAAAGTTCCCTCAGAATAAGCACTATAATATAGTGGTGCTAAGTAACAAGTTTCCCATTAGCTTCTCAATCATTCCACATACCTGCACTTCATTTTCTGAAATTCTAGCGTGTAGTGTTCCTACTAGAGAAAGTGCTGATTCAGAAATGTTTTCAGAGTAAATAAGCCCTTACCTAAAAATCAAGTTTTAAGAAATTTTCTAGGCTGAATGTGGTGGGGCATACCTGTAATTCCAGCTACGCATGAGGCAGAAGAAGTAGGAGGATCACGGTCTGAAGCTGGCTTCAGGCAAAGTCATGAAACTCTATACAATAATAACTAAGCAGGGCTTAGTTATTTTCCTCCCAGATTTTCCTGCCCCAGCTGGTTTGAAACTGATCTTCAGATCTACAGGCCTCCTGCCAATAATCCCAGCTACTTAGGAGGTTTGAGGTTTGAAGACACTCTAGACAGAGAAGTCCAAAG